AGCCTACCGTGCTCACCCCTTCTCTGCCTACTTCAAACCCAACAGCAAATGTCCACGGGGAAAAAAAAATTCTGGAAAAATTCTAGGAACTGAGAGCCTATCAAGGATTATTTTTTCTGGAGGAAATGGAGTTAAATTATTATAAGACAAGTTTAAGCTTCAAATTAGCATACTGAAGGGAGGGTGGTAAGAAAGGTCCTTGATTCCCTGCGCCCCCAAAAAGGGTGCGTTAGCAAAAAGAGGTGCGGGCCTGGGGGGGGGGCTGAAGAAGGGGTGATCGGTGTTTTCCGGAGAGGATCCAAAGCACTGTGGAAACCCCAAGCTCTGAGTGTCCTGCACCCACCCAGGAGCTGTCCTCTCTCAGCTCTGTCCTCTCCCATCCGTCCGACCCACTCCAGCTCCAGTTAAGAGACCTGCTAGAAATAATCGGAGCCCCCTTCCAGGCGGCAGAATTAGCAGGTAACGATTCAATCACCCCTTCATTTACTTCTCGCTCTACGCCTTTCTCGGGTCAGGGCAAAGGGAGGGCAGCGACAGAGGGTGGAGATAGGGTCGACCAATACCTTTTTCTTGGGCCCGGGCTCCCTGCGGTCTGACAGGTACTTGCCCAGCTTGAAGGTGCCGGGCACTGGCCCGAGACGCAAGCCGGCCGGGATGCAGCAGTCTGCACTCACGCGGGTGGCGGGAGCGCGGGCGGCTCCGTGCATTGTTGCCACTGCCGCCAGGCAGGCGCTCTGGCGCGCAGGGTCCTCAGCAGGGCGCGAGTGACAGAGCCGGAGCCGTGCGCCAGCCAAGGAGCCGCGCCCCGACGTGCGTCCTCCGCCCGCGGAGTGACGCGGCCGGGCATGCACTGCGCCTTTTCTACCGGGGCGGGCGCCTTTTGGCACCGTGAGCGCAAGGGCGCGGAGTTTGGTGAGAGAGTTGCGCTGCGAAGCAGCTGCAGAGTCCCACCCGAGAGGGTCACATGGAGTGGTTCCCTCAGCCCCCTGCATAATCGAGGCCTCTGAATGGCTAGCACACAATGGTCCAAGCGACCTTCCCATTCCTAAAAATCCAATTTGTCAAGGGCGAAGAAAAGGAGCTGGTGAATCAAAGGTCCGGCGGGACCATTAATCCTCAGCATGGGGTATTGTCCCCGAGACAGTTACGATATTTTAAGTGACAAATCCACTGTATAATTTCTCCATAAATTTTACTTCCTTTTATTGTTCGCCGACAAACCAGTTTTGGGAAATAAGTGACTACTTTAAGTCTACTTGGCTGATTCCTTTGAGCCTTGGTCTACTTCAAAGATTTTTAATTCTCTCCCCTTGGCTTTATTGTAAAAGAGATTAAACAAAGAGATGGGGACTGTTTGGAGGACTTGTTAACTTCTATTGATTTCTGGCGTGTGCCATACAGAAATTAGGCAGGTACTTGATGGGAAAACACCAGAAAATACCTACACTTTTAAAATAACGACCATATTACCATTTCAGGGGATTGGGTCCAGGCCAGTTGTCTATTTAGAAACATTTTCATTGTTTCCTCTGTTCCATCCCTCCCCCCCCCCACCCCAAATATGAACGCTCAGGACAATTTGAGAAGTCAGCTGTGCCTCCCTGCTCTCAGGCACACCTCTGACCTGGGCTTTAGCTGGAGAATTACAAACAGCCATAGAGCCCAAAGCTTTGCAGGGGATCCTACACCCCAAACCTCATCTGAGAGTTAGAGAGGGAAAAATTCTATGGGTGGATTTTGAATCATGTCTCCCCAACAAGCCAACAGACCCAGTCAAATCCTGTTTTGCTTTTAAGATAGGAAGGAAGTTCTTGTGCTAATTTCTCCGGAGCCAACAAACGCCTTCTTTAGTATTTAGCACACACACACACACACACACACACACACACACGGTCTGCCCAAAGTCACCTAGAAAAGTGTAGTAGGCGCTTGGACAACCTTGGCTTATGCCCAGTTTATAAATGAACAGGACCAGTACTTAGGAGTTAAAACAGAGTGACTTCTCTTTTTCTCTAAGCTACGTATTTATGTGAGGATGTTTATTTTCATTAACTAGTAACTCATAATCAAGTTCATTAGATATTTGTGATGGCTGTCAGCACCTGCTGCACTGGTTGGCCTGTGCTCTGCTCCTCAAATCCTGTGCAGCCAACTCTTGAGCTCTGCGTGCTTCTTCCCAGAGAGGCCTGAGGGTGCTGGGTTTCTGGCCCAGTGTCTGAGCCTGGACCATGGCACCAACAGTATAGGACCCGGAGCAGTGTCCACACCGGCTTCTTCACCCAGCTTTGCCGGTGGAAATTACATTTCTCTGGCAGACAGTGGATGTGACAATAGTGAACGAGGGCAACAGAATGCAGGGTGGTGACACCTGCAACTCCACAGGTCCCTCAAAGAAGCTCAGTGCAGATTGCTTGCTTGAGAAGTTAGACAGAACCAGAAGATTCAGAGTCATCCAGTCTGTCTTCTGCCACTCAAGATTTGGAAAACTTTCAGTGAATTTCTTTGGTGCCTCAGTCTCTCAATCTGTGAAATGGGACCAATGGGTGAAAACCAACCTTGGGTGCGCTCTCTGCTGTTCACAGGGCGGTGGTGTGGGGGTCGCTGGGAAGATGGCTAAAGTGTGGTGTGTATGAATTCATCCTGGAGGCTCCAAACTGCTGGTCTAAGTAAAGAGTGAATCCAGGCCAGATCAAGGGTCTGGAGTCTAAGCATCTCACATCAGACTGTATAGGGACATACAGACTGCCAGCGTGGTGCCAATCACAGCCAGGGCCAGTGTAGACGCGGTTACTAGAACTGCCCTGTGGCCCCTTCCACCCTGCAGCCTCTGTGTCCAGGGCTACTTTCTGAAGGAACTGCGACTGATTTTTCCTCTTAACCCTCCCATTGCCCCTCTAAGGGCTGTGGAAGGCTACCCTCGAGGAGAGGAGGGAGCCTTTGATCAGGCGGCCCATGAATGGCAAAAGCCGGGGGAGGGGAGGAGGAGAGGAAGCCATTCCGAGGAGTTGAGGGCAATAAATTTAAGCCATGAACATGTCCCTCTAACCTCTGGCCTGGCGACTCCAGGATGACACCCAGTTTAAATTACCAGCACTGAGAGCGGGAAGGGGCGAGCGCAGGGCCTGGGTTAGGGGCACCTCCCCAGCCCTCCTTAATGAGTGAAAAAGCGTGAACGACACGCGAACAATTTTATCAATAGGACCATGTAAAGGCCGACTGTGAGGAAAGTTATTTATTAATATAGCCAATTGTGGCTGGTTCCCAGCCCCACGAGAAGAAAGAGACTGCGCCAGAGGCATTCACACCAGCTCGGGAGTTTTATTCTGTCCTGTGGCTCAGAGTTGAAGTTCCCCAAGTGAAATAAATTGTCCACAAAGGAGGAAAGGAACACATTTTCTTTTATTTTTCCTCCCCTAAAAAGCAAGGGTGAAACCAATCTAATGTGCCCAGTGGAGCAAGATGGGCCGTGAAAGGCTGGGTGTTAAAAGTAAAAGCGGGCTGTGCAGCAAATGGGATGGAAAATTAAATGAAATTAAATAGCTTGAACGACCGTATTGTCCCTTATTAAAAAGACACATTAATTACATGGTCTCAGCCTTATTCAAAGACAATGTAGAGACTCAATCAAAACATTCCACTCGGTTTTTTTCATCGACTTAAAATGGGCGACCAGAGGCCGCGTTAAAGCGAAATCTCTCCGACACTGAAGTGCGCGGAGAGGCGGTTTGGGAGGCGGTCCCTCTCCTCGCCCACCGCGGAGCTGCGCGGGCACGGGTCCTGCCCGGGTAACAGGTTGCCCCTAACAGGCCTGGATGCTCTAGAGCAGCCGCTGGGCGGAGCGGGAGGGTGGCGG